CAAAATTTGACATATTTTTCTGCGCAATTTTTTGATAAATCAAAACAAACTATGCATAGTCGCGAAAATTATTCTTTCAATTTTTAGATTTCAAGAAAAATGCAACAAGGTTTTCTCGCGCTTTTGTTTTTTAAAATTTTAAATTTCTTGGTGTTTTTTTACCATTGATCCAAGTCAAATTCTCTATGTATACTGATCAAAAGCAACACTAACGTTGTTTTAAGATTCGGAAAAGGATTGACAATTTTGATTGTTCTCAGTAAAAAACTAACGGCTTTTTAACAATAATTTTTTGCTTTTAATTAACAAATTTTTTTAGAAAGACAAACCATTTTGCACACAAGTTGAAAAAATCTTCTCAAATTGAAATTTTCTATTTTTTCAATATGGAGTACCTGACTTTCATGGGTTACCTGTGTGCAATTATAGATTTGAGCAACTCAACTCCGTATAATTTTTTTTTATCAGTTTTTAGTTTTTTGAATGAATGTTCCTTAATAGCTTTATTGAGTCAAATCATCATTCAGATAATTAGTTTTCGAGTCTCTAGATCAATCAATTATTTGATAACTGCAAATTTAGCTAACAGAACTTTCTAAATTTTTTTAAAAACAAATCAAAGAAGGCTTTCGTCTCCTTCTCTGATAATATCAACTCCTGCCTGATCGAAAAACTGAAAAAATTTCATGAGAAAATTGTACAAAACGGTGAATTTTGGTACACTGCAATTCAAGAGCCATATCAAAAATGAAAACAGGAGTTCTAACTGATCAGTTTTCTCGCCTGAAGCTGGAAATTAGCATTTTCTGCAGTTATTCAATAATTTTCTTCACGATTGCCCTGTTTTAGTTGTACTCTGCGATTTAAATTTTTTCCAATTTCAAATGTTTCTGCATTTAGGCAGAAATTTGCACTAGAAGTTTTTCCTTCAGTCATTATAAATTAACTTATATGATTGGCTAAAAAATTCGCAAAAGAAGATTCAAGAAAAGTCTTCAAAAGAACAGAATGAACAACCTTCGTTGAGAAGAACAAATGGCGTAGCACATGAGAAAGAAAAAGATAAAAACTAATGAGAAACAACTCCAATTTTGTTTTGAGCTTAGCATATTGTTTTTGCACTTTCATCGTTGTTATTTTAAACAAAAATTGACAAAATTATTATATACTGCTCGGTATCCATCAATAACACTGTCATTTTTCTTCTTCGAATCAGTTTCATTTTTTTTGAGTTTTGTATTTACTGAATTTTTTCTAGAAACTCTAACTCAAAAATTTTGAATTTTTGCAGGTTTTTGATTACAACTTTTTTCTTGAACTTCTCCCGAACGGGTCATTTTCTTGCATTGTTTAGCAATTTATCTGCTCTTTTTTTCAAGTTATCAAGTTACGTTAAACTGCTTGAATGTAACAGTGCTTGGATAGAATCTGCTGTTGTACAAAGTCTCAGGAGAGTCAATTCTTGGATATATGTAATCACGGTGATCAAATCGATCTCTGATAGTTTTGGCGAATAGAACTTTTTAGCAAAATTTAAAGGATCAGGCAGTTGCAATTCTCCATGGAACAGAAAAAGTTGTGAGTAGCCAAGCAATAATCTTGTGTTAATTTAAAGTTTTTGTGAGACTTGTTGGAAGCGGAAATAAATAGTAATTTTTCATTATAATTTGAGTAAAAACTGCAAAAGATGTTGACACAGGTACGTTAGCTTTCGCGTTAAATCAATAAGTTTCCAAGAAACTGTGTTTAGGTTTTTTTATTTGTTTGAAGGCCATAACTTTTTTTAAAACGAACGGTATGGCGAAAAGGATGCCGTTTGAAAAAGATTTTTCTTGAAAAAGATTTTTTTTTCTTAAACAAAAAGGAGAAAACTCCAAAAACCGGTCAGCATTTAAAAAATACTGAAAACTTAGTGTGTAAAAAACAGATCAAAGCCTCTCGTGCAGAAGAAATTTAAGCAACCCCTGCAATTTCGATTTAACCCAAAATGTCAAATTTGGGAGGGTTGTTTTCGATAAAAACAACCCAAAAACTTTCAAAAAAATACTGTCAAAAAATCAAAATTCCCGAGGGCCATCAATTTGGTGTCCGAAAAATTACGTCGTGGTCGCATAACCAAATGAGGTTCCCACAACCCTTTTTGTGAATTGAACCCAAAATCTCAAATATGGCAGGGAAGTTTTCGAAATTATTCAAAAAGTGTGAAAAACTGTCAAAAAATCAAAGTTTGACTTTTCCGAGGGCGATAACTTTTTGTTTAAAAAAACTTTGTGAGTGACCGCTAAAGCAGGGGAGCCTCCCAGTGCCGTTAACTCCCTTGAACCCACAATAACAGATTTGAGATGTTAGTTTTCGAGAAAAGTCAAAAAGAATCACTAAACCGTCAAAAATGAAAAAAGAACAATTGCGAGGGCCATTTCTTTCTGTGTAGGAAAAAATTGGGCGTAGCCGCTTAGGCAAGGGAGTTTTTCTAAACAGTTTTTGTCATTTAAACCAAAAACTCAGATTTGAGAGAGGTAGTTATCGAGAAAACGAAAAAAAAATCAAAAATATGGGTCAAATAATCCCCCACACTTTTTGGAAGGCGGTAAACGGAGGGGTCAAGTAGAAAAAGACTCTAGTGGAGTATTAAGGCATACAGAGAATTGGGCCGTCTTTCAATTGATCTCTTTTTTCAGAAACTCAGTAGAAGTGTGTGAGAAAAACAAAAAAAACGCAAATTGTAAAAACATTTTCAAAACGAAAAAAATAAATTTCATTAGACCGACTGGTAAACGACCAACCAAGTTGAAAAGTGCAAAGGGAAGTATTGAAATTGTGTTTTTTTGAAACGGCCCAAAAATAGGCCATTAAATTGATGGAAATTAGGCCGAACTAATTTGGGCGGCAAATTTTTTTGTAAGCGAAACAAAAATAAGCAAGGAAATACGAAGTGAACTTAAGTAAAATTACATATTGCAGGAGTAAATCAAACACTAAAAGCAACATTAAAGAAAAGTCTATATTCCAATTTGATAATGCTTGCTAATCGCAAGCGTAATTAAACTGCCTATGTTGGAAGGAAACCAAAAAAATTAATGAATAAGAATTTTTATTTGCGAGTTGAGCTGGTAAAAAATTGATTTGTAATACACAAAGGCGAAGAGGAGTTTCGCACCAATTGCGATACAACACAATCATAAAAAGCATGTCGAAAAGAATGAAAAAAGATCAAAAAACTAGGTGAACCAAACTTTTTGTATGTCTCGACGGAGAACACCTAGAGCCCAGCTTTAGCTGGAGGCTTGTTTCTTTTTTTTTTCTGAATTAGTTTAACTGATGGGGACGAAATCCGTTATTTCAAAAACTGTACTTAGCTCATAACTCAAGTTGTTTCTCTAATAAAATAAGCGGGTAGAGAGAAAAATTGTATGATTTTGGACTTTTCTCTAAAAACTTTTCTCTTACAAAAACTAAGGAGTAGCGGCTTCGACAGGAAGAACTCACGCAAACGCTTCTATCGATTGAAGTTTTCATTTCAAAGTTTCTTAAAAGTGATCGAAGTTCAAAAACTTGACTTTACAAAATTCGTAAATTTTTTCTACTAAGAGCAGGTCGTGGCCCGTAGAGTACAGAAGATCACAAAAATCGTGTTTTTCGATAGAAAATTTAACCTAGAGAATTGGCACATGATTTTTCGAGCGATTAAAAAAGCTTCGAAAAAACTGTCGAAACTTTCTTTTGTTTCGAGACCAAAACCATTTTCTAACAGAGACTGGGCGTATCAAGTTATAATGGTTAGCTTGCAACAACCTGTTGTGCTGATTTAACCTATGATATCAGATTTGGTAGGATACGTAACGAGCAAAGTAAAAAAAAAACAAATCAGCAAGTTGACATTTCCAAGAATCATAGCTTTTTGTTTTAAAAAACTGGGCGTAGCCGCTGATGTAGAAGAGATTCCCAACTTGTATTTTTGATTGAACCCAGGTTTGGCAGAGTAGTTCTCAAATGACAGGGCAAAGGTTCACACAGAGGCAAAGTTGCACTTCGCATAAACAAGCAAAAACATGACCGATAACGCTACTGGCAAAACTGAATGAGTACGACTTTGTGTTTAAAAATTTTCTTAAGTGACACACGCCAATTATGAATCTACATGAATGCTAAGTGACGCTAGCCAAATATGACGCATTAGCAGTCAATTTGAAAAAAAAAAACGAAATTTACCGACTAACATGACTCAATTAATAGAGCAGACGCATTATAGCTAATTTGCGAAAAAGTTCATTTAAACATCGACCCTGCCCATGTTCGAACACTCTTATTTTGTTGCTGGTCCCAATCGCTACCTCTACGCTATAGATTCATGATACCTAAGCTCAAGTGCTATTTCTACTATAATAGTCGGTGTTAATATCCTTAGCATTGGCTGTACTTAATAGCTGGTTATTGATTGAGCTGAATAATGAACTTTCAAATAGAACACATTTTGTTTCATCAATATTTGCGCCGCAACAAAATTTGAGACTTAGCTTGGAAAAAAAGAAAGTTAATACTATAACACAAGCTTTGCTTGTGTAAAAAGACGATAAAATTTTGGCTCTTCGAGGGCTATATTTTTTTGTCAAAACAATTTGGGTCTAGTCGCGTATTCAAAGGAGCTTCTCACCACTCGTTCTTTGAATTGAACCAGAAATGTCAGATATGAGAGGGTAGTTTTTGGTAAAACTTTTGAAAATTTAGATCAATTTTCCGAAGACGATATTTTTTGGGTAAAAAAATATGAGTTGCTGCTAATGCAGGGGAGCTGCCCACTACGCTTTATCTCCGTTAGCTTCTTTCGATCTTTCCTTGACGTAGTTAAAATAAGATTAGCTGGGGAAAAACTCTAAAACGAACCCTACGCCATAACAGTAGTCGGAACAATAACGTAACAACAACACAGTTTCTTACCAATAAACGGTCTTTCCTATTAGAAACTCCCTGGAATTCTCTATCTCCCGTATTCGGTTAAAAACTCCAGTATAAAAACATGTTGAGCAGCTAACAGTTAAATACATGCTTGATCACAGCAGGGTTCAGTTCATTTAAATTCATATAACACAGTTCATGAGTACTATGAGCACATGAATGGAAGGATGAGTTGAGCTACGAAGTAGTTAGGTTCCTCTACATTGACAATATAGACACTGGATAGATGACGATGCTCGCTTCTCCGCTGAGTAGTCATAGCACATGTCTCCAATTACATATTCTACTTCGCTTTCTGCTTCGGTGACGACTGCTGAGGGAAGAGCAGTTTGCTCTGCAAGTAGCTGTGCAACATCGGGACCGACTGCAAAAGAGCAACAGTTAAATCAGTACTGAGCATTGATATGAAGCTAATCATGTAAATATAGCCAACTGAGTTGGAAAAAAGTAATGAACGCCAAGAGATTTAAAAAAAACGGAATTGTTTTTTTTTCCCAAAAACCTTCAACTTTTGAATTTCTAAGAAAAAAAATAGATGGACTTAAAGCTCTTTGAATTTGTTGAGCAATTTATGATGGACACTTTTTGTTTAAATTAACCCAATTTGAGAAAACTGGATCAACAGGTAAAAGTTTTATTTCGCTGGGAAATCTGATAATTAATTTCCTTTCGAAATTAGAAGTCGATCACGTTTTTCGTGACCTCTACAATTTTACTGTTCGATAGTGGAGTTTGCCTTCCTTTTAGCAATGGAAATGCACTAAACTTGAAAAGAAATCACAGGTCAAACTGCTAAAAATCAAAATTGAGCGCGAATAAATTTTTAGACTTAACTATAAAAAAAAACATCACTAATACCTATATAAGAGTACTCACTACATTCACTTCTCTTAATTAAGTCACTCACCAACACGGATAAGTACACAAGTCCAACGTAAGCTGCAATGGCCACTGAAAGAAACAGGTCGAACACAGCAGGTTTCACTCTGAAATAACATAAATTTTCAAAAAGATTATTTGAGAGATGAAATTGTCACATGACTTTGCTTACTTTTGGTAAACTCTAATTCATAGCGTAGTCTACAACTTGTGATGCAAGATTTTATCAGACTGAAAAAAGATTCGACGGATATTAACTGAAGATTTCACTAAAAGCCAAAACTTTGGTGAAAAAAAAAGATACTCGCATGTCATGTATTGTATTAGACTAGAACAATGAATCCATCCGGAGTATCGCTAACATATTAAGAACTTTAAAGTCATTATCACAGCTAAAAATTCACTAAGCAAACAAGAAAAAATATATAGCCAACAGAAAACTGGCAATAAGTACAAGAACAAGGAAACCGAAAAAAATGGATTGCAAACGTTGGAATATTTTTCAAATTTCGAAGAAAAAAATCAGGTTTAAGCTCCTCAGCTTTCAAAACAATTTATTATCGAAACTTAATGATAAAACTAACCCACTTTTAAAAAAAAACTGGATCGATGGGTAAATTTGTTATTCCGCTGGGAAATCTTAAAATTTAAATCCAGTTTCGAAAATAGATGTCGTTCACGCTTTTTCGCAACATTTCTGCTTTCATAACTGGAGACCACAATTTTCTAACTTTTAGCAGATGAATTCGAATTGAAGTAAAATAGTGCATATATACCCTACAGCAATAAAAGCATAAATATGTATGAATGCTCTTTTGTAGTTATTCCTGAAAAAAATAGATCAAGACCTATATTAGTGAATATCACGTCGCCCTTTTCCACTTAAAAATTAGCAACAGGGAGCTTTCAATTGAGAAAAAAATACCCTTTGAAAAATTAGACGAACTTGTTCCATGTGGAATTTGAGCCTCTGACCTGCAGATTTAGAGTTTAATGTCTGGACAGATGTACCATATTCCCTTGCTGTATTCCCAACCCAAACCACCAAAAGAGCGGATAACAATATAAGAATTACACAGATACATCAATTGAGCTTTTTTTTGCTTAAAGCTCAAATAGTTCCATAAAAGCACTAAATAATGTCATTTAAGCTAGAAAAAAGTATCTCGTATTAAAACACAGGCATGAGCTTGGTAAATTGTGTCATTTTTCGGACCATTAACTCCATAATGAGAAGAGCGGTGTACATAAAATTGAACAAAAAAAAAACGATCAAAAAATTATTCAGCCAATTGATAAAAGCTTTTCTCAATTGAAACAATTCAGCCAAGAACCAATACGATCCCTGTGTACATCAGGAGTGTTACAAACCAGAGCCTACTTTTTCGAAATAACAAAAAAGCTAAACACAGAAGCGAAGCAGAGCTTCGCAAAACTTCCGATAAACCTCAAGCAAAGTAATGCAAGCTAGCGAAAAAAATGAGTCAGACAGTAAACAATACACTCGAAAACAAAAGAATATATCAATTTAACAAAAACAGTCCCCAAGCACAAAGACTAGCATTAAATAGGCTTTCAGAAAACGAGTGACAACTAAGCCGACCAAACTTGGGTTGACACCCGTTGAGCTTAAAAACTGATAAATGCCACCGGAAAGTTGTCAAAAAATTTTCAAGTTGTTAAGATTCAACGCTTGAAGCTTTTACATTCCATCCCCTGAGAAACTTAAATTAGTTTTTACTCTTCAAATTATGCACAGCGATGTGACTGAGTCAATAAAAGATGCCAGGTATGTTCATTGCGTAGAATCATGGAATGTTGAAGTTGAATTGATTATGACCAAGCTATACAATGATTCGTTATTCTACCAGACATGTTCTTTACCTGGAAAAAGGATCCACACTGATAAGTTTAATTACTAGTAAAAGTAAGAAATATAAATTTAAATCAACTCGGAAAATCTATTTGAATCTCCAGGAATCAAAGTGTTCTATATGATTTAAAAAAATTTCGTCAAAAATCCTTGAATTTCTATTCGAAACACAAAACAGTTAGAAATAAGAAAAAAATTAAATCGGAAACTCAGCTGACAAATTCTGAAGAAAAACATAACTCCGAAAAAATAAATTTGTTCCAATAAAGTTTCATCGCGAAATTTAGTTAGCATGCAAAACGTTGCACTTAGCCAAATCCGAAAAAATCGAAATTAATTTTGGTTAAAAAAATATAGCAGTATGTAATATGACCCAAATTGCCATATCAACGCTGTTATATGACCGTTTTATATCAGCACTTACACGATTTTACGATTGTTTGCGGGAAAAAATAAGTTCAATTCCCGATTACTAATAAACTTGCTCTTGCAAGTAAAAAAAACTTAAATATCCAGAAACGGTAAATCTAAGCAAACAGTCACAGCAAAATAATACCCACTTTGAGGTACACTAAAGATGAATATAATCAAGCCATATCTTCCTCGGTTAATTGCCTGAGAGTTAATAAGGAACGATTGCGTACACATAAACTTGAATTTGTACACAGAGGCGAAGCTGCGCTTCGCAAACACTAGCGAGAACACGACAAAAAAGCAGCTTTATAAGCAAAATAAGAAAAGGAAATAATCCTCGAATTAGTAAAACTTTGCAATGTATCGGATCTGCACCTGCGACCTCGATATTTGGAGTCTCACACCCTGCCCTCTCGGCCACGAACGCTTAACAATCGGCAAATACTAGTCACAATAAAGCAGCTATATATGCTAATAAATTGCCAATGCCATTCAGCAAAAGTGGCACCAACTACAAATAGACACAAGTAACAATTTTGCAAGTAACAATTTGGAATATACCAAACTGAAGGCATCCATTCAAATTTTGCATGTAATAAATTGGAAAGCATGAAGCCACATTATGTATAAAGTATGCATTTCAAAAAACTGTGAGATAGATTGAGTTAGAAAATAGAGTTTATGATATTGTTATGTTGTTTATCGGCTCATTTGATGAATGAAAAATAAATCAACCGTGTTAACTTAATACTATTCAAATATCAAAGCACATGCTATCAGCCGTATAGGTGCCACCAAAAGTGGCGCCAATATTTGCGACTTAGTTTAGAAAAAAGAAAAGACGCACTATTACACGACGCTCACTAGTGTAATAAAGAGAAAAAAAAACAAATATTTGCGACAAAAAAATCGAAAACAAAGCCTTGAAAAAAAACCTCCAATTGGGGTATCGACCATAATACACTTGTTCATCATTATATACAACTAACAATTAAATTCAATGGCTTTCACTTATGCTATAACAGTAAAGAGTAAATTGAATGCACATAATGTATATAACGGGTTATTGAAATTTGAACGCAGAAACAATTTTGCTCAAAACTAAACAAAAAATGAATTAGACTGGAAAAGTGGAATGTTAATATAACTCAAGCTCAATAAACTCAATACATGTAAATAGTAAACACTCACTTGTATGCGAATGCAATAGCTTGCTTCTGGTCATAGAACACCACGTCTTCCTTCCTCACACTCGCCGCACCAGCAGAAGAGGGCGAGAAGTCGAGAGAGAATTCATGGATGGCAGCCAGTTTACCATAGCGGCTCAGAGACCGGTAAAGACTCCGCACATAAGGATGTCCCTTGCCCAGGTACTGGCTGGAGTGGGGCTGTGTGGCCACGTAATGCATCAGGGTTTCAACCTCTTCCTCGCTCACAAGACCCTAAACAAATTGACGAGATATGCAAGGTTTGGCAGAAAGAAGAACACAAGTTACCCAAATTTTTCTATTCCCAGTCAATTTCTGAGACTGGAATGGATAAATCCGAAAGTGCTGAAAAACTTTTCCAGTTAAAAGTATGCTATGAAGAGCGAAGTACGTAACCAATGTAAATACTGCAAGCTGGGTTGTATGTTTACCGCGGCTCTCGGCAGGATAACACAAGGGTTGATTTTTTTGATTTTTATTCTACGCAAAAACAACTAAGTTGCCTAAAACGGAAAACTATGTAAAGATAGATCACTTCGTCCATTAACTCAAGCGTTGCAAAAAAAATGGAAAACCAAAAAACTTGAACATTCGAAAGTCAAAGAGAAACTATATGGCTTTATGACTCTTGGAAATTAGGAAACCATTTATGATTGCCCTTTTTTACTGAAATATACCCAATTTGAGAAAACTGGATCATTAGTAAATTTTTTCCGCTGGGAGTATAGTTCCATTTTAGAAACTAGAAGTCATTCATGCTTCTCATAGCCTTTACTTTTTTCCTGTTCGATAGTTGAAGAAAGGAAGTTAAAAGAACTTTAAATCAAACAAACTTTCTAAACGTGAAATATCAAACTTCCCGAAAAAAAATCATCGCGACCATTTTAAGTGACCGCCACTTTGTTCTTATACACTTAATAGCAGAAGCGCTTGCTTGTGTGGGCTCTTTTTCCTCCCCTCCTACCACCAGCAAAATTTTACTAGTAAAATTTTGCTCACATATCGGATTGTTCCAAAAATTGGTATGCGGACTAATTAGGCTATGACAAGAATATTTGGTCTTCTTACTTAACCTTGCAAAACCCCTCGTTACAACATAAAATTGATACATATGTGAGGTGGGGGGAGGGTGAGGGAAAAGAGCCCTTGTCGTCAACATTCACATCTCAAAGTAAGCAATCAACTTTTAGTGCACTTGCTTCTCTATCAATGTATAACTATGTAAAGAGTTTTCCACCCTCCTGTACAATAGTGAAAGATCACATGCATTTGGGTAAATTGCAACATGTCAAAGTGCAAACATTTGATTGGCCAAAAAGATTGATCGAACTCAGCGAATGATCGCCTCTCTAATTTGATTGAGAGGCTAAACTTTACACTTGGTCCGCTATAAATATCAACTTGTTTAAAACAGATTAGATGTCAGTTGTCACCTGGTATTGCTGGTAGTAGTTCTTCTGGTCTTCCTCGTGGAGTACTTGAGACACATTGTAGAGGTATTGGAGAACGGCCTTCTGGACCACCTCCATCTTAGTGATCAGTTTTCGACTGTTGATTTTCTGACCGTTGTCCAGCAATGACTTGCGCATGGGGTGGTATGGGTTGCTGTGACCGGATATAGTGGCTGCTCTGTAGCCGGAGTACCTTTCATGTTCCCACTGAAACCACTGGTCTGCGTTTGGTCTCCGGAACACCACTTCGAATTTCAAGCCAGCATCAGTCGCAGTTTGTTCCAGAATCTATCCAAACGTAATTGCATGCTACTAATTGTCAAACTTTCCCACTGTCAGTCAGTGTATTTTTTCCCACTGTCAGTCAGCCCATCTTAATTATTGAAGCTCAGGGCTTTTTCTTTATTATGAGCATTGATAAACCCTTTCCAATTTTGTTTGATTCAAAGCAAAAGACTCCGATACTAATTTTTTTAATGATAGAAGTTATCGAATGAAAAATAGAAAGATCCAAAAGCCAGCTGCAAAAGTATCAATGAATGAGAGACTGAAAATCATAGCCAACAGACAGCTGTAATTGGCAAAGAGTCAATGCACGCAAGTAAACAAAAAAACGGTCTTTTGAAAACTGTATCAATAATAGGTCGATTTATTATTCCGCTGTGACATCTAAAAAAAACACTTTTTCCTGAAAAAGAAATCACGACGACCTATATGAGTGCCTTCACTGCGTTCAATAATACTTAATACATATATGATTTATAGGAGCTGAAGCACCTGCTGAAATCTAAGTAGGTCCTGCAGTTGTGCATTGGAGGTAGATTTCGCCGTCTTTCTGTGGAAGTAGAGTGTATCTGAATCAGCTTCTAGGCCATTCAAGCTATCTAACGCCAACACTAGTCGCATCTTCTTACTTGCCTGTAAAACCACACATTAATTTTACAGTGAAACTTTCACTTACACATGGTTGACATGCCATGCCTTATTTTTACTTTTGAATGAGAAAATTTTGAAACACAAAGGCGAAGCTGTGCTTCGTAAACACTAGCGAGAAAAGGACAAAAAAGAGCAGCTCTATATGTGAAATAAGAAAAAGTAGAATAAGCCTCAAATTAGTAAAACTTTTGCTACGCGACGGAATCAGACCAGCGACCTCGAGATTAAGAGTATCACGTCCAACTCACTCGGCCACGCACTCTAGCTACTCGCAAAGCAGAGAACAGATGCTTTGAAATTTCCAATGCCACAGATCGCGATTATAGCAAAAGCGCCACCAAAAAAAAACATTTATTTGCAATTTGAGTTGGAAAAAAGTGTGTTCATACTAATAAACTACGCTCCATTGCTCACTAGTGTAAATACAAATGAGAAAACGCAGGTAGGTGTTGAAACAGTGTGACGGATTACTTGTTCATTATTTTGGAGGTAGTGGTTTGATCCCAGAAAGTTCACTTTTCCCGCCGCACTTAAGAGGAAGTTGACATTCAAGCTAAAACACGTAAACAGAACTTGATTAAACTAAACCCTCTTCTGATTCGGAGCTAAGCCTCGTTCATGTTCAAGCAGTAACTTATAGCATTGAATAGCATACCTGGGTTGGTTCTCGGGGCTACCATAGAGTCCAGAGAGTGTTTTGGCAAGCGAGAGCAGACATGCTGGCCCCGTGCCGCTTGCATCCACCTCCTTGGACAAATCCTAAAATGCACATCAATTTCAGCCTCCTGCACCTGATTTGAGGCGATTCATCACATAATCAGACCTTGATGTTACGACAACCAGAGAACAATTTGTTTTCAATTGAGATTTGTATTATATGTATTATACAATTTTCAGAGCTCTTACAGCAGAAGGGGAGAAGGCGTCATAATGTGCCACAATCATCAGACTATCTAGCTCCACGTTCTTCCGAGTGTTGATAAGTGACGCCTAAAATACATTTGTAGAGAACATAATATTAGAGATTAGAGCTGCTGGTCTCTAAAAAAGATATAAATAGACTCCTTAACATACCATAATATTGGCGAACTTCGTCACTGGAATCTGAGCGGGCGCTGGCGAGCTGGCCACAATTTGGAAACCGTTTCCAAAAATTGCATTCACCAGTGCTAAACGACAGACACTTCGGCTCGACTTGAGCTCACATGATGTGCTCACTGACATGAGAAAAAAACTTTCGAAATGGGGAAAGTTTCGAAAATGGCTGTTTTTAAAAAAGCGAGTTACCTCAAGTCAAATAATTGTGAACTAAAGCCGGGAATGCAACTTCGAATCTTGTTTAAAGCCAGCTTTGTCTCCGATATTACTTTTAAAAAAACGCCAAAAATCCCTATGAAACTTTTACTGAGAAAGCTTGAAAATGACACAGTACTTGTACCATTCAAACGCGTTTTACTCAACATTACGACAAAACAATACTACCTTAACTACTCTTAATCAGCTGAAAAACTTAAAAAAGCAAAGCTGGTTACTGAGCAAGTAGCACAGAATGTTGCAACCATAGTCTTAAAAAACACGTTTTTCAAATTTGTGTCTTTTTTCTGCGTGTTGTGATAACAAAAGATCCGAACAAGAAAATAGAACTTGGGCATATACGGCAGTCATAGTAAAACAAGCCGCCTCTTTTTCACTCCCCCAATTTCAAATGTGCGTGGGGGAGTGGAAAATAGCCAACAGGCCAATTGGAAAACTGTTTTTCTAGAAAAATTACTAATTACTAGAAAAACGAAAAAAAAAATTCAATTAACTTTTTCAAATTTTTATGCCGAAATTTTTTGAACTTTTAACGAAATTGGCGCTAAAAATCCACAAATTAACTTAACTCGAGTAAAACTTAGTTTTCACGACTTAAAATAGGCATAAATAAGCTATTATAAGCCTGCATGCAGGGGCGGTTTTAGGGGGAGGTACTATTTTGAGATATCCATATTTGTTGACGGACCCTAAAAATTTTCTAAAGGTGCCTTTGGCGCCAATATATACTTACTTTGAGGGGGGAGCGCGCGCCAATAAAACGCAATTTTGTTGGTCAAAATTTTTTTAAAAGTGCCTAAAAACGCGTTTTTTAGCCTGTTTTTCAAAACTGTGCCTGCGGCTCAGAAAATTTAACCAAAACAGGGTCTTTTCAATGCTTTGGGAGAGCTCGGAAAATCAAGAAAATCCTAGATCCCCCCCCCTCGAGAAAATCCTAGATCCGCCCCTGCCTGCATGTTCACCTTATAAGCTCGAAATAAGACCAAAAAATTTTGGGACGTTCAAATTACGACTGAAAGGGCTTAATATGATATATCACTCGACGAATTGCGAAGATTATTTGTGTAACCTGATTCTGCGTGGGGAAAAAAACTAAACTACCCGAATACAAGTTCCTCCTCATTTTCAATGGTCGGAACAAAAACCTACCTTTTGCCGCCGAGGATCCACTGTCTGTAGATGTTATTTCCTTCAAGTCGGACAAGACTTGCATCACAGTTTCCGACTGCAATGCGAAATAGATTGGAATGGGATATTCCCCTTCCAGCAGCATGCTCTCAACTTCCAGCCAATTTTGCTGCTGCTCTTCACTCAGTTGCAGCGTGGCTTCAGCATCAGGCAGTATAATAACAATCGCTAGTGGGTACATGCGCACCACATCTTTAAGCCTCGCCGCATTTGTCTCCTCCATTCTCATTAAAAAACATTTTCGATGAGCCAGCCTGATATGCGTCGTGGCCTCTGCTGCAATTGCAGCTCCAAAAGATCCTATACAAGAACAACATTCTTTTGTTCACTAAATACCCAAAAACAGCAGTAAAAAAGCAAAATTATGGCCTCAGCAAATCGACGTATAATAAAATTAACCGCGAAATTTTCATTCAGCGACGCGCTGATCATAACATTAACACCATTAAAAAAACTTTAGCTCAATCAATATCATTTGACAGTTTCGAACCATTATAAAATGACAAAAAATAACCGCCTTTTCAATGCAATTACGATCTTCTAAATTGAACTCGTATACATCTTTCATGGCTATTTAAAACACAGATGCCAAGCGTAACTTCTTACCTCTTAAATTTATGTATTACAGAGTGACTACGAAGTATAGCCAAAAATACTAATATTGGAAGATATTTTTGTGCTTTGTGAACAAGGTGACTGAAAATTAACAGAAAAACGCTAGCCCAACAGTTCAAACTTCATTCATAATAAAAGAAACGAGGTCCAGTCGGGACTGGAAGCCCAGTCCTTAGGAACCGAGGCCATGCTTTTTGTCACTCGACCAAGTGGAAAGGATCCTGGTAGTTATTGAAGTTTTCATAAAAAGCAAATTGAATTTCTTACATATTTGTTATAACAAGTTTTTTTACTTGAACAAAGTCTAGTTCCCCATCACAAGCAAACTCGCCCCGCAAGCTAACAAAACTTGTCAAAAACTGCTGTTCCGATCATCGAAAATTGCTAGGAGATTATTCGTAGCTAGCGACAATTTTCCTCAGATTCTTCTCCGATATCATAAAACCTAGAATGACTGGTAAACTTGCGAAAAAAAATAATTCGCATTTCATTTCTTCAGCCCATTTTGGGCGGGTTTTGCTCATCCGTCTACAGGCTAAGTATTTCACTACTTCCACCGGCCTTAACCACAGGTCTGAGGGAGTAAAAGAGGAAGGATTTCTGAGCAGTTAAAAATATGGCAACAATTGTCGAGTGAAAAGAGACAGTTAGGGCAAAGTCGGGAAACTTTGTTATCCAAGCGCGCGAAGTTATCTGGTTAAAAGCAGACTGTAACAAAACTAAAATTGGAAAAGCATACAGCGGTTGGTTCTGGGAAGGGACTGTTCAGAAGGGTCGATGCTTCTAATAGGAACTTGGAGTCGTTTAGTGACTGGTTTTGGTCGGTTAAAAGCGAGCCTGTATCGTCTTGAAAACCATTTAAAAAGGAATGTCTAACTTGAATTGGAGCTGAGGGTAAGAGTGATAAAAATTATTTGGGTGATGCAAACGGTACGTGGAAATTCAAAGAGACGTTGAACGGCTGTGGTGGTTTGAGACGTTCAGGATCTCGACTTCACTGCGCAGGTGCGTAATGAGCTCATAAGAGTTTAGCCAATGCTTACACGGAGGGCTTGATTTTGGGTGACCTGCAGACCTGCAGATGATTTAAAGATTTTGCTGGCGCCATGCGCCTAGGCCGTGGAGGCATTATCTAAAATAGGTACAATTAATGCTTTGTAAGTTAAAAGTAGGCTTTCTTTAGGCTAACCCCAAGAGGAACCTTCTAATGCCTTGAGAACTACTATCCTGCGACCAGCCCTGTCAGCAGATCTCTTGCAGTGATCTGCAAACATAGGGTGGGGTCAAAAGCAACCCCAAGAATTTTATATTTTTGTAGAGGGAGAAGCTTGCTGTGTAAAGACAATCGGAGTTTTGTTTATATCGTTGTTGAAGGACGAAAGAAGGTAACTGATCCTTTAGAGGATGCAAATGCTATCTTACACGAAGAGAACAAATTAAAAAGGTGGTGGAGATAATAATTTAGTGACTGCGATCCTGCCTTAAAGTCATGGCTTTGGGCGGAATCATCCCTGTATGAGGTGAGGCAAACATTCTTGGTGGCAGAGGGGCGTAAGATTAAATAGTCAGTCATGAAACAGAGTCGTGGGGAACTCCACAAAAAACAATTCTATGGGTGTTGAAAACAGTGGTGGCTTGTCGGCTTAATAAACAATTGCTTAGCCAGCGAACTATACCTCTCGGCAAGGGTGTGCCATGAATGAGTTCCACTAGTATTCTATGACATTCCTTTGAAAGGTCATTAGTGGCGAGAACAGTAGGCTATTTAGGCGCATTTGCTTTATTATTTTTTCCAGGTTCCAGTTCTATTGTCAAATTTAAGTGGGTTCCTACCTACAACAAGCTTGGATCAGTTTAGAAAGCGTACCAGCTCCAAAGCTTTCTGGCACCAGTGCGGTAATCAGGGGTCTGGAGGAATTAACCTCATCATTTCTCATGTCTACGGCTGTCTGATTCATGATCGGGGAATTTATTTGTGAATATCTGTAACTGAGTGATTTCTATGGACTGATTGTTGTGGCGGCCACGATCTCTTTCAACATCAAGAGAAGCTGACTTAGGCAGAAGAGATGTCGTGTAGTAGTGGTGGCACCCGTCGTGTAGTAGTGGCTATATCATTTTTTCAGGTTCCAGTTTTATTGTCAAATTTAACTGAGTTCCTACCTACAACAAGCCTGGATCAGTTTAGAAAGCGTAACAGCTCCAAAGCTTTCTGGCACCAGTGCGGTTATCAGGGGTCTGGAGGAATTAACCTCATCATTTCTCATGCCTTTGGCTCTCTGATTCATTGTCGGGGAATTTATTTGTGAATATCTGTAACTGAGTGATTTCTATGGATTGATTGTTGTGGCGGCCACGATCTCTTTCAACATCAAGAGAAGCTGACTTCGGCAAAAGAGACGTCGTGTAGTAGTGGTGACACCAATTTATGCATTCTATTTGGAGAAAAGTGTATGTCCTTATCAAACAGTTACTCGAAAATAATCGGGAGGTGGTCGGAGCCTAGGATTTGATCGGGGTCCCGGATGAAGAAAATTAAAAACAGCGATGCCAGGAAAATTTCAGATGAGGAATGTTGCGCATCAGAATTTGAGGGTACTCAATTTATGCTTCGAAAGATTCGGTAATTTAATTAGAGTACTTTTCCGCGTCGATCATTTTTGATATTAAAAATCTGGAGTCGAGAATGGGCATTGGCGTCCCCCCGTATCAGAGCGTCACCAGGAACCAGAAGATCAGTAAGGAATGCGGTATAACTGGGAGGAAAACTAGATCTAGGGGGTATGTAAAACTTACTGCTACGATGTTTCGACAAACTGGCTACCACAGAGATACTCATAGCCTCTAGCAAACTGTCGGTATTTGAAGTAACTTCTTCGTACTATATAGATAAGCAAGGATAGCAGGAAGGAGGCCACCACCATCTTTGTTTCTGTTTTTACGGATGACAGAGTAAAAAGGACCTAAGAAGGGGTTACGATTTCGTTTTCTCAACTTTGTCTCCTGGAAGAGAGCAATATGGATTTCATTCTGAGCTAGGAAAGCTGCGATTTCGGGAGCTTTCCCAGATATTCAAAAACAGTTTAACTGTAGTACTATAGAAGTTCCTTTTGTCAGTTGGGCGTTGGCTACAGAACGGCTCGAGTTAGTGGGATTAGTCAGTAGTGGGCTCTGCGAGTGAGCCGGTATAGGCGAAGGGTGCGGTTGGTGGAAACTGTTACCGAGAAAGTGTTTTTTTTTCCGAGCTGAGGTAAAACGTACGTAGGGCAGTAAAAATCAGAGTGGTCGTCTTTTAATGAAAGCCAGCCCCAATGAAAGCTGCAATTAAAATGTATCCACCCTTATACTTGCAACCAGACACTTGCTTAGTTACGGGAAAGTATTGGCTGCAAGGGAAACAATTTGAGACCAGTATTTGGAAGTAGGAGCGAGGGAGTTAGGTGAGTATTAGCAGACGGAGCAGCCTGGCCGGCTTCATGCACTCTAAAACCAAAAACCCGGAGACTTGAGCTTGCCCCGACCCATAGAAGGGGGGCTTGACGTTTTTACAACCTTCAGGTCAAAAATGAAAAAAGGTGCTAAATTTTCTTTCAACTAATGTCTTATTAAAAATCCTGGTTTTTAATCGACTGATTTAGCGACATAAAAATTAAGGTTTTGGCGACATCAAAACTCAAGTTTAGCTGTTTCATTTCGATGTCAGTTTAACACGCTTTTTTCTGAAAAAAAGGTCTTTTTGAAACTACATTCTTTCTTAGTGATAATTGACGTGCCAAAAATCTGAGTGCCAAAAGGCTGCAGATCGCAAAGGAAATATCGACCATCGTTAAGGTCTACTGATGACATAAGAAATGTCGACGATCAACTGCTGTAGGTTCAATTGACTTCTGACACCGTGAAGTGAACGGGACAGGACTAACAACTTTTTCGAAGATGCAAAGGCCCAGGTTTTAAAAATTAGCGTGTAACGCACGTCCGTTGCTTCAAACAGATAAGTCAACGCAATAATTCTTGATAAAAAAAACATGTATGAAACGCAACAAAATGGATTGAACGATAACAATACACGCGGGAATCCAACTACGCTTTTGATTTCAAAAATTGAACACAGAAAATAATTTCAAATTAAAAATTTTTGAACTAAATGGTTCAATCTCCAAAACAACTGGAATTCAGATCTTCGTAGTTTCAACTCATAAACGAAGAAACCTTAAAATGGCCGAAATCATACAACTGAAAATTACGTATTTGATTTAAAAAAATATGGAAACAATTTAATTGCAAAATCATTAAACTCATAATTGGCATTCATAATGCAGCGTAATTAGTTATAAGACTCTTTTAAAAAAAAAATTAATTGTATGTATAATGTCATTTTACCAATGATATTAGGATTGGAGACCACATCTGCATTCGCTGGCAGCAGGCTGACATCACCCCAACAAAGGGTCGACAATTTCAATTTTGAGAATTAATTTTTCTTGAAATTTAACACTTGAAAGTTTTCAAAAAAGACAAATACATCATAGCTACGAAAAAAACGGCAATGAGCAGCCAAGTTTGAAGCCCAGATAAACATGCTGAGACTTGTTTGAGAGCACCCCGCTATGATAATGAGTATTTCAAATTTTTGTAAGTTTTTTTAACCTTAATTTTTTGAAAAATTTGACAAGCATAAAAAACGGTATTATTATTATTATATTGGATTTAGTGATAAATCACAAGGGGTTTCCCCCAAAGGTATTTCTGTTAAAAACGAGTCTACAGTTGTTTCGATTGCAGTCACAAAAGGTAACCCAGGAGCAAGAATTGCTTTCATTGTAAAACGCATGGAAGTATTCCCAGAACCATTTCAACAAGTCCGATTTCAGGGTGGAGGAGAAAATATCAATGTCATCAGGTAAGCGATTTGCTGTTCTAGTAGCTTGGAACCAAAAATTTTGCTCACATAAACTTTTCAAGGGCCTAATGCTGGTAAAACTGAGACAATTTCAGCAATCGTAATTGGAAGCAAGATTAAACGTGAAAAAATTCTTTCGTTAAGCATGCAAAAATAATACATTTAAAAAACTTACATATGGCAAGTGAAGCCCGCCTTTAAATGTATAATAGATAGATAAAAGATAGATTGTTTCAATATTATTGGAATTATTTTCCTATTTATGCAATTATGACTCATCTTTATGATATCAGACCGATTAAAATGACGATTGTAAAACATCTTCAGAATACTGAACAGCTATAAAAAAAAAGATGTACCGTTATACCAGTAGATATAAAATTTCCTAACTACCCATAGGCATGCATTAACATCTAATTTATCCGCCCGTATTAAACCCATCAGAATTTTAGATGCCTATGTTTATTGAGTGACTTGCAGCCGTCGTACATAGAATCAAACTCCCGAAGACTGTAACGCTTATCTTAGTTCTGATATAATTTACTGTCTGTGGGTCGACAAACAGAAAAAAACAATATTGATGCAAGCTGAATTATAATTTTTTTCAGATATATACTGTTGTTTAGGAATTCGACTATCCCGACTCTTCTATTTGGTTTCAGATATATAACTTTTTTCATATATATATTGTTGTTTAGGAATTCGACTATCCCGACTCTATTTGGTTTCAACGACCAAATTTGATTTCTAAGAGATTCAAACATCATTTCTCAATGTGAACTCAACATACCATTTTTGTTTGACCCTGACTCGAAACCTTGCAATCTGAACACTGGAAAACTTTGGGACGCGTAGCCAGGAGATGCTAAGAGAACTAAGGGTATCACCATTAAAATAGCGAGACCATTGCAACTTCGGAAAGTTTCAGCGATGTCATCAAAGAAATCAAGCAACATTTTAATCTGGAATTTTTTATCAAATAAACAAACTTACTCCAATTACTCTTTAGCAGCAAGGTACAAAAGACATACTTTCTACACAATTCGGCCATATAGATGCAGAGAGTCGGATGCGTATTGTAAGAAGTATAGAACTATGAACTTTGATTAGATTCAGAACTCGAAATTTGTATTTCGAACATTTTCCATTACTTTTGAGTTTCTCGATTACGCCATAAAATCTTTCTAACAGTGAAACGTCTAAAAACCAGAATTCAGTTTTTAATTATAAAAATTGACACAAACACCTTACTGATAGAGTAAACTCGTTGCACAAGAACTAACTACTAAAGAAAAAGCTAATGAGAACGGTGAATTTGCTTTTGGACATGAACATTGTAGTGAATCATCAACAGGCTTTTTTTTTCTTTAATGGTAATCAGAAGGTCAAAAGTATCATAGTAACCGAAGCTACAGCCAGGAGTCCCTTCATCACGTATATCAGTCAAAATCATTGGAATTTTCCAGATATGGAAGTGATAATGATAAAAGAAGATGACAAGTGTTAAAGTCTTAAAATCGATGCTGGTTACGTTTCTTCAATAAGAACTGTAACATTCGCCCGGAAGTACATATCGACGGGAAAAAAAGCTGAGCTATAAAACGACTGACTAGCGACTAAACAAAGCTCTGCATGATTTTCACCGTCTCTACCGAAGCCAGTTCTTTTGGTGGTCTTTCCAACATCGGGTCGACAAAAACGTTACTGTTCTCCGGCTTTAACCAGAACGCTCAAATTAACTCAATTACAAGCCAAAATAGTGAGCTCATTGCTGGGTCTCAGTATCCCCAGACCACGAGGTCACTCCTAAAAACAGGGCTACTACTATTTATAATATTACGATTGTTTTTGTTCAGTAGATAAAGAAATCATCATCTCCATCGAAGATGGATCAACCCTTTCCCTCAATTCCTAGCTACTCATAATCAGACAATGAATCGAGATGTTAATTAAATTCAATTCAGGGCATGACCAGGAAGCTAAAACTTAGTTAGAAATAGTTTGAGTTCAGGTCTCAAGACCCCTCCGGATTCCTGATTCCGGGAAAATAACACTCTTATTTCCTCTCCGGGAGGCTGAACGCACGGTTTCACCAACCTTCACCATTGTCGTGAATGGCTTTAAAACGATTGTTGCGATACAATCGTTACAACTCGGAGCGGTCTCTGCTAATACTCTGTCGTATTTCTCTATTTCTTGTCGTTGTTTCTCTCGCAACTATCGTTGTTGTTGTTTTTGGTTTACTTCTAAAAATGGCCGTTTCGACGTTTCTCGGAAGTGTGACTCACAAATCGAATTTTTAAAATTCTAAAAACTCCAGAATCTTCTGACCTTCACGATTCGTCTAATCGTCTAAATAACGTTGTTTATATTCAAAAACTGCTAATTCTCAAGGTCAACGGCTAATAATCCGAATTGACCTTTTTTGTCAATTCTGGTCGAATGTCACCTACTTCTCGGACAGCCCGGTCAATGTCCCCATTGAATCTCGTAGTCTTCGTAAAAATAGTACAGTGCCATCGAACAGAATTTACAAAATGCACGAGATCATTTTTATCCACGCCATATCGACTCACTGCAGAATATAAATGGCATCACTATAGCCCCCCAAATCCTTTCACTAATCTGCACTTTTGAGGTAATGACATAAGATAAAACATTTTGTCTGACTTCTAACGCCAATGCCCTGATTTAAAACTTTTTCTCCTAGGTTTTAAAAGGTGTTAGTTTGCAGGACAGTCCTGCCAACCAACAAGCTAAAATTACCCTACTATGCTTCTTCTCTTCGGAACTTTTAGTGGTTGTATTGATCCTGAACATTAAAATTAAGGAACTCTGCGGTAAGAACGAATAATGAAATAATCTCCCTTTCCAAGAGATTACCCAAGCCTTTCATATCACCAAAAGTGATCAGTCATCCTAGTTGATTAAAAACAATCATGCAGGCTGGAATATTTAAATATACTCTTCACTCAAGCCTTTCTAAATAAATAGTAAGTTTCTCTAAAGCCACTAACTAAAATCAAATTGCAAATTTGTAAATGCAACAAACTCTTTAATGCTCAAAACTCAACTAAATGTTTCAGTTATCAATCACAACTTGGTTGCTTAGTTTCTCACTTGAGTTTTCGTCACTCACATAGAACAATTCTGAGTTTTAACTTCTTCTCTTTCGTCACTTCTTTGTTTTTTCTTTTTTCGTCGTTTAGAAGTTCTAAAACTTCAAAATTCTTTTAATTTTCTTTCTTTTTGCATCTTGTTTTTCGGCCATTTGTCAATGCTCCATCTCCTCCTCCTGCGACATTGACTCTGCTTTTTCAGTTTCCGGGTCCTGCAACACATCAGTAGCTATCCTGACACTGTTGGAAGCAGTCCTCCAACACCTCTGCGCTCTATTCTTTGCTTACAACAAGGTAGGGGATCAACGTTAGATTCTCTGTTTCGGCAAAAGCTGTTGTGAAAACACAACGTCGCGTTTCTCTCCAAATCTTCCTTGAACATCTCTTCTTTCTCGCTTCCATTACATTCACTCGTCCTGGAAGTTCTCATTACTGCGGTGGTCACTGCCTTCCAATGAGTTACAAAAGCTCGCTTTAAAGCTCCTGCTCCAATGTTCAGCTGATACGCACTGTACACTCTGCTATGCTTCGACATTGGCTTCTTAGCATATTCGTACAACCATGCGGTCATGTTGGCTCTCAACCATGGCATCAGTCGTCTTCTGGCCCACATCTTTTTCACTTCCATCGGAACGCTCAAGATTTTGCATATTGTCTCAAAGAGATCTAAATTTTTTAGACAACCCAATTTCTGTAATTATTCTCTCGTTGGCACCTCCTGTCTATTGTTCTCCTTCACCTGAGCTTCCAGCCATTGTATCGCCATCATAACTCCCACTATCACTATCATTATGGGCCGTGATGAGTCTGGTCCACAGTCCCAGATCAACACCAAATTACTACGCCCGGGGTACCACCATGTTTGCAACAAGCAATGGCAGGGAAACTCATCATGTGTTGACATGATGCTCCTTCAATTACGCTTTCCCGAAGCTTCCAGTAGTGGTTCCACTTCCATCATCACTCAGTGGACTTCATCATTTTCATCTAATGCATTGTAATCCGTGACTGTCGATCCTTTCTGCTTCTGTCTTTCAAAGTCACTGAAGTTCCCACTGGCGTATCCCATGAACTTCTTTCCCAGTATCGAATCCAACTCCTCTTTAGTTCTCTCCGGAACTGCTGAGAACATTTTGCACAGTAACTCGTAAGACTTTTCTGACATTCTCGATAGTCTTACACATTTTGGAACCGAGAAGGCTTGATCCACGATCGTTCTCGTACTTTTCACATCCACAGCTACGAAATGCAATGGGTATCTGCTCTTGCACATTGGGCCTAATGCCGATCCCGCCAAATATCGCGCTCCCAACGGTCTGCGATATGTCTCACTGTGTCGGATGTTCATTTCCGCCTCGATCGCTTCCCTCCACCTTCCGGTCTGCAAAACTCCTGAGAACACGTCTACACTGATGGCCGTGACCATCTCATGCTTTTGTTCTAGATTCAATAGTGACTCTAAAGAACCAAACATGATGTAGAATCCTAGTGCAGTCACTAGATTCACCTCAGATCCTCCATGGCAATCCGCAATTAGCGCCGTTTCTGTCTTCGCCTTCATCACAGTGTTCCCAAACAAAATCGTCGACTGTTTGTGTTGTTTCTCCAAGGTCTTCACGCAATCCAGACCTCCACAGTCGTGACCTTCCAGTCCACAGACTTCTGCCAGACAGCTACCAGGTTTGACCCAGTCCTCTGGTCCCCAGCCAGGCAACTCCACTTTGTCTGCTCCGTTGCTCTTAGAGGCTGTTGTCATCACGTTATAGATGATGTTAAGATCACGCAGATTACAGTCTGAGTTCAGTTCCCTCTGTACGTCTTGTGCCGCCCGTAATATTGAATCAGCATTGGGACTCGGACACCATGATTGTTTCATTAATTCCCACACTACCATCAAACTCGTTCTCAGCAGTTCGTCTGAGAATCCCAATCCAAATTCTACCCGGTTGTCCGATTTTGGCACTGAAGGTGCAGTCACCTTTTCTTTCCAAGACTACTCCCAGCTTGGCCTGCTGATAAGCAGCGCTTCTTATCGTTGCAATTTTTGACGTCCAGAATCTTAGCAACACTGCTTGTTCGTAATCAAAGAAGCAATCGCGTATGTCTTCATTTAGGAAAGGGTTGTACGCTATCCCTATGATTCCGGACACGTAACTGTAGGACTTCTTCCTAATTGGTCCACAGTATTCACTGGATTTCGGCAGTGCTACCATGAACTCCTTAGTGAGCCTCCACTCTTTGTTTGAGAATCTCCTTATTTCGTCTATTTTCCTCATGGGTTCTAGTTCCACGGGTTCTTTCATGTTCACTCGCATTGGTTTGCTTTGATACATATCCAGCAGTGCTAGCAAGAGCAAGGCTTTCGCTCGTTCATCACCTTCCTTTAGCATCTTGACACAAGTGTTCAATGCTGGCACTGACATTTGTTCTACATGAACCGAATGAAACAGAGAGCGTCTCTCCGCTTCGCGCACGCTATTGCCGCTTCCTCTTGGATTATCAGATCTCTCATGCTCGTCATTAGGAATACCTTTTCTTCCTTTGATCTTTTCCTTTCTTCTGAATCATATTCCCCGCGAGTCAGTCCGATCATGCACCAGGCGAACCTCAGTTGTAACTCAGTTCTCACATAAGTTACTGCTGTCAGAGCGTGTATCTTCGGCGTGGTTCTCATTTCTTCTTTGAAAAACCGTAGCACAACCGCTCTCCATGGAAGGCTCACCAACTGCTCTATCGTTTCTGCATGCATCTCAGACAATACCAGAGTCTCGTATGCCTTCTGCTTCAGGGTGGTGCCTTGCATCATCGTTTCCAAGTAACCTTCCATGGCACTTTTGTCTTCC